CGAAAGCGGGGCCTTTGCCCACGCCCGGCGGGGCACGTCCACCGGCCTCATCAGCAAGATCACCTCCAGATTCGCTCGCAGGTCAGTCCCGCGGGCTCCGGTGTGCGGTGGCCTCCGGGGATTAGAAAGGAAGTGTGTTTGGGGCTTTCCTTTCCTCTTGATAGTGATTTTTCAAAGTGGTTTCATGACATTTCATGAGAGCTGCTCTTTTGCAGAAGTTTGAAGAAAAAAAATCAAGGAAGACAAAATCTTTTCCCTTAAGAGAAAGAAGAAAAACGGACAAAATGAGAATTAAAAATTTTTCTAGAGTGGAAAGAGCAAAACTTGACCTCAAAAATGTGCTTTAAAAGCCTTAATTTAGAAAAGGGAATGAAATAGGAGTTTACATTTATCCTTTAAATTGCTCACTAATAATAGTTTCCCTCTTTCTCGTAAAAAGCCTATATATACAGCTGCATAGATTTCTTATGTAATTTAACATCATAAAATCTTAACCTCAGTAAACACAAAATGAACAACAAACTTCTGATCTAGTAAAATAGTAAAACTGCACTCTCCTGAGAAAGCAAGCATGAGTGTGCAATGCACATTGGTTATACGGGGTGCTGACCACAGTGCAGGTTGATGTAAATTTGATGTTACTGGGTTCCTGTGTCCCCTTCCCAAGACCTGCATTCCTGGCTGCTCCTGCGCCTCCTTCAGGTCCTTGCTGAAATGCCACTTCCCCCCGGAGGCCTTCCCCACCCTCTATGTAAATTCACAGCTCTTCCTCCCAACACTGCAGGTCCCTGCTTCATTCCTCTGCAGAGCCCGAACGCTCCAAAATAATAGATGCACTTTATTTATTTGTCCATTGTCTCTCCCAGCCAGAAGGTGAGAACAGGGACTTGCTTGTTTGCTTTCTTTTGTGCCGAATCTTCTGCTGAATATTGAGTGCCTACGGTGGCGCATAATATGCCATTCAGTAAATGTTATTGGGTGAATGGATGAATAGTGTGGGAAGCAATCTAAAAAGCAAACGAAAACCTAAGTTGTAGTAAATTCTAGTAAATGCTAGAAGGAAGCAGGTCCTGAAATCAGGAATGAGGTGGAGGCAATGAGGGTGTTCAGACACAGCCTCCGATGGCAGCCGGCATGGAAGTTTCTAAGGTTCCATGATGCTCTTCTTCATGGTGCTCATATTCGTGTCCTTTGAACAGTTTTCTGGGCCGAGGGGGAGAGAAAGGGAGGGAGGAGATTGTTTGTGATGTTTTGTCAGCAGGTTGGCAGGTTATTTTCAGGGTCTTGGTTTTAAACACATTTCAATCAATTCTGGATTTGGTTAGAGAAGAGAAAAATTCTCCCTTCTCTTCCAAGGTCACGTGTCACCGTGGGAATGAGCAGCCTTGGCATTGCTAAAGTGCTTGCGCTTGGGTTGTGTCATCTACCACAAGTGACTTCATGCAGGAAGACACGCCAGTCGTTGGTTTCAGTCCCAGGAATGAACCTGCTAAGTCCTCTGGCAAGTGGCAGACTGGAGATGCAGTTGCTCTCTCTGCAGTCACAGCATATTGAACTTTGGGAGGGGGGTGGTGTTGGAGCTTGGAGATAAGCTAGAGAATTTCTCAAGGTTCAGGATATAGTCTAGCCTTATTATTTAACTAGAGGCCCGATGCATGAAGATTCGTGCAAGAATGGGCCTTCCTTTCCCTGGCTGCTGGCACTGCCTTCGCTCTGGCTGGAGCCACCTTTCTGCCTTCCCACGCTGCCCAGAGGCCCAGAGCGGCTGGGGTGGTGCCTGCATATGCAAATTAACCCGCCATCTTTGTTGGGTTAATTTGCATACTCCTGCTTGGCTGATGGGTGTCACGAAAGTACGGTCAATTTGCATCTTTCTCTTTTATTAGTGTAGATATTTTCAACTCATCTCTCACGTGATCCATTCTTTCCCCTTATTTCTCCTTCTGACGTCCATCCTGGGCTCAAGCCCTATATCTCTCTGGTTCCTTTTGCCTTTCTCCCTTCCCTTTGGCTAAGGCCTGAAGAAGTGGAACCCACACATGGACACCCTCTGTGACCAGAACTGGGTGTTCTTGGGGTCATTTTGGGAGCCAAGATGCCTCACAAACTTTGGGACCAACCAAGTTGGTGTGCCATTAAAGTGCTTAGGTGAAAAAGTGGGGTTTTCATAGGGGGAAAAGTAAAGGAATTGGGCTTGCTGAGCGTTAAGAAGGGAAGGAGAGCAGTAGGGGTGAGCTCATCATTCATGTACTTGGAAACCAGTATTCCAAAGAGGAAGCGGGGGGGGGGGGGGGGGGGGGGGTAGCTCTTCCTGGCCAGTAGGAAGACTGTTCACCAAAATGACCACCTGAGAGTGTTGCTTTCTGGTCTTAGGAAAGCGATTTACCCTAGAATCATCGATCAAGGGAGATGGAGATGATTTATTTCAAAGTCTTTTAAATAGTTTTTAGACCCATACACTGTGGGTAGGTTCTCTATACCGACTCTGTAAGCTGGAAATTGCATCACACCTGATGATTTCTGTTTAATCCTCACCTGAGGGTATGTTTTTATTGATTTTTAGAGAGAGAGAAATATCCATGAGAGAGAGGAACATCAATCGGTTGCCTTCCATATGCACCCCGATGGGGATTGAACCCACAACCTAGGTATGAGCCCTGACCAGGAATCGAACCCACCACCTTTCAGTGTACAGGACAATGCTCTGAGCCACCCGGCTAGGACAAACCTGATGATTTTTTCACCGTAGCTCACTTATATGGGGATACTTAAAACATTAACTTAAAAGTTCAAGTGGATCATTTTCCCCAGCTGTTTATTAATATTTTGCTATCACAAGCCACCTCTTCATATATTTAAATGGGTTTACAATTTGATACTCCTATGTCAGTATTTAATTAACTTTGAAAATGACAAAGTAGTTAAAATTTTGGTAGATTTTTAAAATAGCAATTACATTCAACAAAAGGACAATTAGTAGAGTTTTCCTGGTTTTCTTTCACAGGTGGATATCCAGGTAAGATCAATGTTTCTGTTTAAGATTGAGTTCATGTTTTTAGACTCACCTGCTTGGGTAGGCTGTTCATTTGCTGTAATATTTTATCATGTGCATGAATCGTTAGCTTAACTTCTGAAATACGTTAACTGCTTATTTAAAAATTGGTACTTATTTTTAGAAATACTGATATATGTGTTGAGCTTCATTTCTAACTACTAGGTTAATGTGTATGTTTTCTAAAATTGAGCGACTACTAGAATTCTGTTTCATAACAAATACGCAGTTGAATCTTGCTGTTGATAATTATTCAATAGTTTTAACTTTAGATTGAACTAAACTAAACCAAAAAATAAATTATAACTTTAAAATCATGTCGGAGAATTGGAAGATCATGTATAAAAAAAATCCTAAACCATCACCCAGCATTTCCTCCCTGACAATACCCAGTAGACGCTCAATGAGTGACAGTTCAGTGTGGTTATGTTGAAAAACATGAGAAACAGTATTAGACTGACGAGTCACAGAAACTGTCACGCTAGAAGTTGGCTCAACAAGTTAATTTTAAAATCATTTCAGATGTAGGTTTTCTTGATCTATTTTTCACTCTTATCATTAAATCTCAACCTTCACTTTGTTTTGAGGGATCCAAGTGAAGGCGAAGCCAGTGGCAGAACAGACACCTCAAGGTGAGGAGCCACTATTAACCCTTCGCTGCCAGGGCCCGTGTATGCAAACGTGCTTTTGAAATACCGACAGCACTTCCTAAAATGAATAGAATGAATCACTAGCTAGTATGTGTATTTTAAATGTTTATATTGGGATGGGTTTCCCTCATGTTGCCTAGCATTTAATTACGTGTAAGTTAATTAACTGTAAGTTTGTGTTTTCCAAACATGATTTTGAATTGTATGCTTTGTAGAGAAATGGCCTTTCTGTCCCGTAATAGATGTGTTGGCAAAAGAATGAATAGATTAAAATGTACTGATCCTTTTCTCACTAAAACGATGTCACTAATATTAGTCTTAAATAGCATAGATCACTGAGGTAACCAAGTCCATGGGAAGATTTGATATTAGTGATATACTTCAGGTGAGTGTTCGGCTATAGGCCACGTGTGGAAATGCTTTGTGGCATGCTTTGTGGTTTTTTGACATTTAATACTGGTTGTGTCTTCGACCTGACGACAGGTCTCAAACTTGAGCACAGTCGGAACTTGATTAAACGGATGGCTGGGTCCCACTCCCAGGGTTTGTGATGGGCAGCCTGGGGCCTGGGGACCACATTAATGACATGTTACTACTTGTGTTTACATTTATAAATGAGAAGTTTAAGGAACAAAGGCACTGAATTAGTTTGTGTGAACACATGCCCCGCTTCCTTCAGGAATAATTTTTGACCAGTTGAACACAGCCTCGATTTAATTTCTACTTTTTAAAATGACTTGGGATATAAAACATCATGAGCTTTGGGAAAAACTTGCTTGAACATTCCAAGGTAGTTCTTTTTACAAACTGCGCTGTATTTATGTTTAGTTATAATAGTTGAAATGATTCTTCATGGAGGTAGGTGCCTGAGTCACACCGTGGAAGGGAGCCAGAGGCAGGCAACACAAAGGACTTATGTCATCCCGCACTAGGTCATCACTTCTGAGCCCCCTTCTGGAGTCTTCTCTCTTTTTTCTAAACTTCCCTCTGAGACATTTAGTAGTGGACAGTGTCACAGGCGCCTGCTAATATTTCAGTTCATTGGCATGGTTTCGTTTTTGTTTGTTCTTTTGCTTTTGAACAAACTTGCTAGTCATTGAATCCACACAACCACCAGGAGGAAAGTGTCCCATTTTACAGAAGAGACAGTGGGGAGCCTAGGAGGGACCAGGCCAGTGCTAATAAGTCTCTGTCTTTGCAGAGAGATGTGGGGCGTGATGGTGAATAGCATGGGCTCTTGAGCCCAGACCGTGTGGGGGTGAGCTGTGTTCTTCTACCAGTTCCCAGGATGATCTGTGTGACTTTAGAAGAGTGATTCTACCTCTTTGTGCCCCTAGTTCCTCATTCTGACCGCCACAGGGTGGTTGTGAGGGGCGAACGAGGAATTAGCACATGTGAGGCAGGTAGCACAGCTCCTGGCATGGAGTGAGTGCTCGATAAAGGACAGATGTGGTTATTACTATAACATTTCCAGGAGCTCCTGAGTTAACGTTGCCACTGGGGATGCCCTTGAGATACACCCAGAAAATGTCTCGTATGTGCCTGTTGTCTGAAGTTCACCAAGTTTCCTGGGTGGAACGCAAGGCAAATTAGACTTGGAATAAGACATCTGATTTCTAGTCTTTCTTTCAAGTCATTAGCTGTATGAGCTTTAAAAAGTAATTTAAGTTTCCTAGCCATCAGTTCTGTTTTTAAAATGAGTGGTCGATCACGTGATCTCTTGGGTCCCTTCCAGCCCCAGCATGCTGACCCATGACCTGAGTGTGCGTGCGCTCCTGATGAGTGTCTCTGCTTGGATCTGCACATTCCTGGAGGCCCGGGGCTCAGGGTCAGAGAGCAGAGAGAGAATGCTGGAGAAGGCATTGGGATAAATGCGCTCCATACTTAGTTCATAGTCTTTGGAGGTTTCTTTTCTCTACTTATTTCTTTCCTTATTTTTTTTTTCAAGCTTGCATAGTTTGCAGAGCTTTGGGCGTTCAGAAGCCTAGGAATGAGGGGGGAAATATAAGTATACACATATCCCTGAAAATTCATATATAAATGTATATATAAATGTATACATGAGTATACATTATAGGATAATATTGATATAAAATGTTTAATATATGTAGATAGTAGATTATACTTTAAAAATATACCACTACTTTAAATCATATGTAGGTGAGATGGGTTAGCAAATTAGAATTATAACATCTATATTTGAATAATCGCTCATTAAATTTAATTATAGGGTATTCTGAATCATAAAATCTACGACTTTTACCTCTCTGATTCTGTGAAATGGGTTATCTGGTTCTGTATTATTCATGGGAGATCTACAGTAAGGAAAATTCAGTGAGGTTGATGCGCTTAAGAAATACGTGTCAGTCATCTACTCTGGTGGAGGGAACAGCCTGTGCGAAAGCCTCAAGGCCAGACCAGACGGTGTAGGTTCCAGGAATAGTATGGAGGCCAGTGTGTTGGGGGGAGTGAGCGAGGAGGACAGTCGCAGCGGTGAGGGTCGGGGCGAGGAGCTGGGGTGTAGGTGTGTGGAGCCTTGTAGACCGTGTTGAGGATGTCTTCAGCAAAGCATGGACACGATTCGAGGGCCCGATGCCCACACTCCTGTGTGTGGTACGACCTGGCATCTTCACCTCATTGCAATACCAGCTTCTTTCTTCATTATCAGGTAGAAATAACCCCTCTGTGGCCATTGCTACTGTGCTGTCCCAAGTCTTTCTCCTACCCCCCCCCAAAAAAAAGATAGAAAAGGGGAAATTTTTCTTTATGTTTCAAAATTGTGTATTTACAAGCACAGTGCTAGTGGGCTCTCTTCTTGTACAAATGTACAGAAAATGAAGATTGGGCTTTTGCAAATTGAAACAGAAAACTATGGAAGGACCTCAAAAAGTATTCAGTTCTTCACTTCCAGCGGCAAACTTGTTCCCACAAAAAAGTCCATTTACGGAAACACGCTATTTTAGATGGAAGATCTTAACAAAGTCAAAACAGAGGGCATCCTGGGGTCGGTTTTTGTAACAGCAAGATGGCATGAACCTTTGCACTTGCCTGATGGTAGTTTGCAAAGTAGGTCATTTTTTGAAGCACTGAATTCTGACCCCTGAGAGTTTGTGTGTGTGTCGATTTCTGTGCTGAGTGGAACTTCTCTCTGCGTTCTCTCCCTGTGCCCTGTTCTTCCAGAAGTACATCCGGGGACCCGAAAGAAAGAGACAAGGAAGAGGGGAAGGACCCCAAGCCACGCTCTCTGCGCTTCACCTGGAGCATGAAGACCACCAGTTCCATGGACCCCAATGACATGATGCGAGAGATCCGGAAAGTGTTAGATGCAAACAACTGCGATTACGAACAGAAGGAGAGGTTTTTGCTCTTCTGCGTCCACGGAGATGCCCGGCAGGACAGCCTCGTGCAGTGGGAGATGGAAGTGTGCAAACTGCCACGGCTGTCGCTGAACGGGGTCCGCTTCAAGCGAATCTCTGGGACGTCGATTGCCTTTAAGAACATCGCATCTAAAATAGCCAATGAGCTCAAACTGTAAAGGAACTCCACGTGGCAGGATCAGGGAAGACACATCCGAATGAGGTACAGTTCTTGAATGTACTGGGTAATATGCCTAATGCGATTGGCCTGTGAATCACCCATGTAGAATTTGCCCTTAACACGATAAGGTTATACATAGTTATGAACTGTAAAATTAAAGTCAGTATGAACTATAATAAATATCTGTAGCTAAAAAAAAGTAGGTTCACATGTACAGGTAAGTATATTGTGTATTTCTGTTCATTTTCTGTTCATAGAGTTGTATAATAAAACAGATGATTGCTTCAAAACTTGTATAGTTGTCTAGATTTCTGCACATAAATGTACGTTTGATGCTCTGAGTTGAAAATATTCTTCCCTGTTATTTACATTCTGGTGGGTTTTTAAAATTCTTACCTCCATCATGTAATTTTGAAGGTAATTGTGTCCAGAATTGAAAGTGCACAGAAGTAATCTTTACGATTGTAGCATGGACTTTTAAAAAATTATTTTCAAGTCGTATTGAAATTGAAACCAGAAGCTGATCCCTAGATCAGCTTTATTCCACACAGAACTATTCCTGCTTATCTTTGCTCTTATTCTTGTTACCAGACAAGGTTTAGTTGAGAAGTTACGACATGTTTACAGTGTTGGCACTTAGAGTTTTTAAAATAGAGTCCATGAACATAAGTTATAGCTTTGCCTTGAGCTAACTAAGAAGTACTGAGGGGAAGTGAAAACCTACATCCAATGTCTTTTGAACTTGAAAGTGTTTTCTGACCCTCTGCTAATCGTAGCAGCAAAATGAAAAAGAATCAATACCTTATCTGGCTAGTATAGCGCAATAGGTTTGCTGCCTTCCCAATATCGCAGTGTCCTTGTGGGAATATAATAATAGCGGACAGTTTCATAGCACAACTCATCTTCCCAGTGTTGGTCAGTGCGTCAGTTAGGAAATAATGCCACCTCAGGAATTCACTGGCATTGGGGACGCTTGCCTCCTTCGCCCCTCACCCTCTCCATCCACCCCCGACACAGTGGTATCTGTGAGTCCTTAGGAGACTGTGGAGCAAAATATACTATTTATAACAGCATATCTTTGATTTACGCTCATGTGGTCGTTCATTTGGTTCCCACGTAACTTCTCTGTTTTTACGATTTTGCCAGATTTCTTGTATTTATTCCACATCGTTAGGCCTATAACTCGCGGCTTTGTAATCAGGCGTTTGCCTAGTTTCCTTTCATAATGAATGATCCCTGCGATGTAAAACCACTAGTAAAGGTACATTTTAATACTCGTTACTTGATACGGAATTAGCCTTGGAGGTTGACTGTGCAATGTTACTGAATGTTGTAATGACTGTACTATCTTCCAATGGGCCCCCTCCGCACACTCCGGAGGCATAGAAAGTGTATTCAAATCTTATGAGTCTGCAGAACACGACAGCTGTGATAAATACTGTAATTCCAACCTACACGAGACGGCTCTCGGTAGGGGACGTGCCATTCATTCCCGTGGCTTCCAGACTAGGGTGGATTTTACCTTCTGTACTGGACTGTGATGTAGCTCTCTTCTGTACGGTTCTGTTCGAACACCAAGTGTATTTTTTTTTTTTTGCCTTAGCCAAGGGTGGTGTTTGGCAAACAACTGTGTAGCCCCTTTTTAACCTCGTGTTCATTCCAGACAATTGATGCAAATTCCTCTCACTTCCACTGGTGCACACTGAAATTTTACTTGAACAGTTCTCATAATAAAGCACTCGTCTTTTGCTCTTCACCGGCATGTGGATGACCTGTTTTCTAGGACAGAAGGGGGGTTTATGTCGTGTCTTCTCCATTCTGTTGGCAGGGGGTGGAGCTATGTAGGTTTTCAGGATGTTGTTACAGCAAGAAAACGTTCATCTTTTTATAGCGGTTCCTATTGTCTAAATGGTTTTATAAAAACAGACATCATACCTTTTTCAACATAGGAACTGGTGTTTTTTTATACTTTCTCTCTCTTCTATGTTTGTGGGAAGGAAATTTACTTCAATATTTTTTACGAACTAAAAATGAAATCTTGATAGTCACTTTATTATTTTTAAAATTGAAAAAAATGTTTATTGTCGAAAGTATTACCTATGTCCCTTGGAGAGTCACTTTAGATTTTCAGTTTTATATATTCATAACAGCATACATTTTCTTGAAGATTTAGAAGAATTTTACAATATGTTCGATCAGTTTTATATATTCATAACAGCATACATTTTCTTGATTTAGAAGAATTTTACAATATGTTCGCATCAATAAATAACCAGTTTATGTTCACTGGCTATGTGATATCAGGGTGTCCTTGGTCTCTGTTTAAATATTATTTGCTATAACATCCCTAATAAATTAGTTATTATGTAAAGACTGGGGCACAGTATTAAGTTGAAAAGTTAAAATTTGATAAATAAAATGAACTATGTTCCAGAACCTTAACCCAATCATATTCTCTAACGTAGGATTTTACTTAAAATCCCAAAGGCCTTGTGATGAAGAGATTTTCACCGGCAGTACCATTTCCAATGTGGGCAACCAAACTAGACATGAGTGAGGCACCAATTTACTATAGATACGTGATTCCATTAGCACGTGTCAATTAATCAAGATGATCCCAGCCTTGATTCTTAAAATATCTATTGAGGTACCTACTACATCTTAAGAAATATAAAGGAATTGTCAAAGATGGTTCCTCTTCTCCAAGACTTTGGTTCATTCAGGAAGACCAAGTGTAAACGCAAACAAAAAAACACACCCAACTAGGAAACCAGGACAGCGTTCAAGCCAGCGCCAGCCACAGGTCCTCCCGGAGTGCGGAGCAAGGGGAGCTACCATGTGTGGACGTGAGAAAGGAAGGCCTTCCGAGGGATGGCAAGGGTGGGTCAAGTGTAAGAGGGAGGCTGGGAAAGACCCTTTTGGTGGAAGGAATACGTGAGAAGAGGCTTGACGTTAGTCATGGTGGTAAGACACGTGTCCGAAATGAACTACTTATTCTAGGGCAGGGATGGGCAACCTTTTTGTGAGTGCGGCCAAAACCAGCAAAATCTCTGACTCAAAATTCTTCTGCGTGCCAACCCTGATTTTTTGAGAACATGTTCCTACTTGATGATATCTCTTAAGGTGTACGTATGTGAAGAACCTTGAAGAAATAATAAAATTCATTTGAGCGACAAAAACACAGTATATGATGATGAAAAATACATTTATTTTTTAATGTATACATGTACACTGATAGTCCGACAGAAAACTTTATGACTCCGTTTGATATTATCAGTG